GATTCGTAACCACTACGCTACCAGAGCTTCCTAGGGAGAGATAAAGAGTCAGGCTGAATGTGGTACTTAATCATAACATTGCCTTGTCTGATGTCCAAGAACTGTTTTACATAGTGGTGGTAGTTGTGTCCTGTGGTGTATGTTCTGACTCATAACGACCTTATAAAGGATTTTCGTGGCTGTAAATCTTAACGGAAGCAGAGTGGAACTGCTGGAATTAGAACTACTGACCTTGAGATTAGCAACGCGACTCGTTGCCATTATGATGCCAGAGCTCCTTGCTTTGTATGTTGTTGTGGTGGTTGTTAAGTGCTGTCACGTTAATTCTGAAACAAAGCGATCTGCAGACCTTGTGGTTCAAACCAGCTTTGCAGGCCAGCACATTAACCCACAGCGCCACATCGTGACAGCTGTATATATTTTGTACCATTTTATAATTTTTACCAAAAGCACTAAATACCTGGTTAGTTTATCCCATAAAAATCATACAATCAGCTTTCCATTTTCCTTGTATTTTTTTTTGATAAAAATTATTTTTAATCTGGAGATAAATTTAGAGAAAGATGGCATATTTAGAACTTTTCATCCATTAATATGACTTACTGGATTTTCTTGAAGGTCTTTCAGTATCTTTAGATATTTAATTTAGCATATTTTAAATTTCTTTTGCTGAATTTATTCCAGAGTACACTACCTTTGTTGTTAACTTTGCTTTGTAAACAGTATCTTTTTTGAATTTTGTACTTGTGCATAGAAAGGTAACAGATCTCAGCCATGTGGCTCAACTCTTTCATTAACTATAAATATGATATACTGATTCAACCATGTTGCTGAGTATTATTATTAATTATATTATTTTCTTGAATATATTTTATTTACAATTATATCAGCTTGGTTACGAATTGGGCTACGAACCTCAGGGTCAGCAGTTCGAAACTACCAGAGGTTCCGAGGGAGAAAGATGAGGCTTTCTGCTCCGGGAAAGATTTACAGCCTTGGAAACCCCGTACAGGGTCACTATGAATCAGAACCGACTCCACGGCACATAACAGCAGCAACAATTGCTAATAACAGATTTAAATTTTTTTTCCAATCTTTGTGTATTTTATTTACTTACTACATCTTACTGCACATTATTGATTATAAGTAATATTCCTAGTTTTCAGGAATTTAGCTGTAATTCAAGTCAGAATCCAAGTGCGCAATCTTGGATTCTACCTGGATTTACAGCTAAATTCATCAAGTTTAAGCTCTGATTTATTCTTTATTTTAATCTCTACCGTGGTTCCCTTACTTCTTACAAGTACAGCACTGCATTAACATGTTTAGCTAGAGACCAAGCTGTCCAGGTCCTGGTATGGTGCCGTAGGATAAACACTCGACCTCAAGGTCAGTTTGAACCACAAGGTCCCTGGTTCAAACTCACCAACCGTTCCTTGGAAACCCTATACAGGGTCGCGATGAATCGGAACCGATTCAGTGGCTCTCAACAACAACAACCGAGGATACTTCAGAAGTAGATAGAGGTCTATGAATATAATTTAGATGGGAAGAATTCTTTTTCATAATAATCTTTTCTAACAAAAGTATGTCTCCTTTAGGAATTGGTGTGCATATGTACATACCCGGCTGTCTCCCACAGTGATACTGGACAACCAGGTGACTTATGCTCCAGCTGGGAGAGGAGCCTGTGCATGGACCGGAGGGACCTGTCCTCAAAGGTATGGAACATTTCTTGAAAAGAGCCACTAAGCTGGTCAGATATACAGGAAATCAGTCATCCCAGTTAGTTATGTGTGGCAGGGTCAGAAGACGGTCATCATATTCAAATGACATGTGTAACCTTGCAGATACTAACAACACTTGCCTCATATGGCTGCCTTTAGGATCTTTTGAGAAAATGCAGCTATTTTTTAGTCTGCTGTTTAGTGCTTTGTGAGTATTCAACAATTGAAAACTCTCTTGCTTGTCCTTATTTTTATTATTACTATTATTTTCCCATGATCTGATTATCAAGTCTGCTCTTTAATTACTTATCCAATTCAAACATAGTTTTAAACCAATCTATAATTTCCCTTTTATTATATTAGTTAAAGTCCATGACTTGGCTCATATACCAAAATTCTTTAAAAGCCACTAATTACAATTTTACATAGTAAAACAGCTAAGTGAGGTCTCTCTTCTTGTGTCTTTTCTAATGATCCATATTATTTGTTTTTCATTTTTTTATAAAAATCTGTGTAATTACCCTATAATGTGAAGCTGAGAAAATGATAAATTTTCTAAATTGATACAGAATTCAGCTCAGCTGAGGTGTTTCTGAAGAGTCTGTAATAAAAACTAAAATTGTTATTCAGGCTTTGATGGATAATGATATACAAATTGCCATGCAAATGACTCGGACAATGAATCAGACACATTAGCAGTCTGGAACAGAGCATAATAAGGACACGTAAAATCAAGGTGTTTCTTAGTCCCTGAGGAAGAGCTAAGGCTCATGGTCCAGAGACCTAAGCACCCATTAGGGATTTGAGAGACCTGAGCTCTAGTTCTGCTTTCAGCATTTACTCCCTTTATGCCAATTTCCTTGTCAACATGAGCTACAAAGAATGCACTGTTAATTCTTTAAAAATGAAAATATTTCCTCAGTAATCCGTGTGATGCTGCCTTTCTAAATTCAAGGTGAACACGTCTCTCTTATCATAGGTAAAAATTTCAATAATTATGCAGTGTCTGCCACCTGGTAGCGTAGTGGTTAC